CTGGTGGCCAGGAGCAGACTTGCAGAATGTGCCCTTTGGAGATGTAAATTATTATATATGCCTGAGTGGTTTTTTTTGTTTGTGTGTTTTTTAAAATGTTAAAGTGGATAGAGAGAAATACTGTTAACTGATGGTATATGGAGGGGATTATAATCAATGTAATAAAACAATGTATATGAATTGTTGAATGTGAAGCTGATGATGTGCCCTGTAGACTTTCACTCAATCCACAATAAAAACCTTAAATTAAAAAAAAAAAGTGGAGCAATGGTTGCACAGTGGGTCATGCATTGGGTGGTTCACCACAAAGTCAGCACTTCAAGTCCACCAGGCGCAATGTGGAGAAAGATGAAGTTTTTGGTTCCAGTAAAGATTCACAGCCTCAAAAATCCTACTACCGTTTTTGTTGTTAAGTGCAGTTGTGTCAGTTCCGACACATAGTGCTCCGCTGAAGCAGAAACTACTGGAGTAAGCACTGCATAAATGCTGAAACTGTATTGTGTTCTCACATGGCCAATATACAGCTTCTCACATAGCTTTTGGTTTTCTAAGTCATGTCCAGTGATGATGTTGGTTTTGTTAAGTGCCGTTGAGTTGGTTCTGACTCATAGCAACCCTATATAGGGTTTCCGAGGATGGACTAGTGAATTTAAATCGCTGACCTCGGGTTCAAAGGGACCTTGTGGTCCAGCATAGCACCCAAAGTACCACAACAGGACTAAACAGGGTTGCAATGATTTGGAAACAATTCCATGGCACACAAACACCACCACCAGACTTTTAAAAGAGGAGACAAAAAAAAAAAGTTCATTTCTTCACTTAATAGACATAAGGATTGTGAGACAATAGACTTCCTATAGAAAACCAAACCCACAAAATCCCTGACTTTACATAACATTCATTTGGGGGATGGGGATTGGAGTATATGAACAAATAACTATATATCATGTGGTGGTGGAGTTGGTTCTGACTCATAGCGACCCTGTACAGGGTTTCCAATACTACCAGAAGCTCCTTATTATTTAGTAACTAGAAATCCTAAAACAAAAAGGGAGCAGAAAATGACAGATGAACTGTCTTTTAAACAAAGGGAAATTCTCTCTGGTCAAGTAGGGTAACATTTGAGCAGAAACTCGAGAGAAGTAAGGCAGCAAGTCATACATTTCACTAAGAGAAAACCCAAAAAACCCTTAGACAATTGTAGGACTTCACTATAAGTGAATTCCATTCTCAGGATACCACTCCTCTAACATCATACTTCGGACATATTGTCAGGAGGGACCAGTCATTGGAGAATGAGATCATGTTTGGTAAGGTAGAGGGTCAGAGAAAAAGAGTAAGACCCCCAATGAGATGGATTGGCCAAGTGGCAGCATCGAGGGGCTCAAGCGTGGCAACAGTAGTTGGCCCAGGATCGGGCAGTGTTTCGTTCTGCTGTGCGTAAGGTTGCTATGGGTCGGTACCAACTCGATGACACTTAACAACAACACAACATCACTGGACCATCACGACAGACTTCTGGTGTGTGCTGTAGGATAAGTGCAGGACTGCAAAGTCAGTTTGAACCACAAAGTCAGTGCTTCAATCTTACCAGTCGCTCCTCAGAAACCCTC